GGGGCCGCGCCAGCCCCGCCCCGCAGCCAATCACAGAGCTCGGCACATCGCTCGGTGGGGCGGGCGCGGCGCCGATTGGCGAAGGCGCGCTCGCACCAGGGCAGCGCCAGCCAATAGGAAGGCGGAGCGGCTGGTGTGACGGCAGGCGGCGGGCGCTGATTGGCGGAGGCCACAGGGGGAGCGGGAAGGAGTTGGCGGCCCCGAACCCCCTCGTGTGAGCGTGAGGGGAGCGGCGTCGCCATGGAGTCACGGCAGGGTCGAGGTGGGAAAGGAGCTTGAAGACCTTCCAGTTCCAAACCCCTGCCCTGGGCAGCGACAATTTCCACTGTCCTAGGTTGCTCCAAGCCCCGTCCAACCTGGCCTTGGACAGGGATGGAGAACCCTCAGCTTCTCTGGGAATTCCATCCCAGCACCCTCCCCCAGGAAGAACTTCCCAGTACCCCATCTAACCCTGTGCTCCGGCAGTAGGAAGCCATTCCCTCTTGTCCCAAGTGCTTCTGCAGGCCTCTTGAGCCCCTTTAGGCACTAAACCAGGCTCTAAAGTCTCCCTGGAGCCTTCTCCAAGCTGGAGCCCCCAGCTCTCAGCCTGTCTCCATAGCACAGGTGCTCCAGTCCCTTGAGAATCTCCATGTCGCCCTATGGACTTGCTTCATATCGTTCCTGTGCTGAGAACCCAACACACACCCAACTCCATCCTCATCCTTCAAAGTGCAAGATGCAGCTTTTGGGGTTCTTTCTTGTGAGTGGTTTTCTTCCAGAAGTTGGGGTTTGATTATCATTGTGTGTCCCTTCCAGCTCAGGATATTCCATGGTTCTTTGTTTTGGAAGGACACTTCACCAACACCCTGCAGAAGGGACATTAACCACCTTCTTTGGCCCCATAACCCCATTAATTGGTTTATTCAGCAATCCCATAACCTGCAACCACTCAAAGACATTGCAGCTTGCAGGGGAGAGGCTGTACAGGTCTTCCCTAGGAAGCAGCTGCCTACAGTGGAGGTGTTTACCTCCAGCATTCCCAGCTGATTTGCAATCCATCTTTAAATCCAGGTCCCATTAACGAGAAAACTTACACAACTAAGGAAAATCAGCGGTACCACCGTCTGCAGGCAGCACCAAAGAGGTAGCTGTTAAACAATTCCAGGTAGCTGGAATTTCCATGTACACCCCAGTTTTTAACCAAGAAACCACCAGAAAGGACACACTTGAGACAAACATCACCAGTTCTAATTCCAACTTTTATTTTTTTGCTCAAGTCAAAAACTTATTATTAAACTCAAATCGAGGGAGAGAGGACAGCAGCAGCTCCCACCTAGTGTATAGAGACTCAGCTCTATTTCCAAACCTTTCTGCTTTCAGGTTTCCTTGGAGATCCTGAGTTTTATGAAACACTGTCACACACTGTATTTTTTTTAACTTTTACAGTGAGATCTGGAATTGGCAGCTTGCCACAAAGCTGAAACCTGTGGGTGCAGAGATGAGCTCTACCAAGCCCTGCTGACGTATATTTTGTCTATGTTGACGTGGAAGAAGGGAGCTGTTCCTGTCACATCTGACACAGGGAACAGCCCCTCATGTTTAACCACACCCCATCACAGCCCAGCACAGGTATTCAGCTCCTGACAGAGGCAGGACTATTTAATTCCTAATTAATCAAGCTGTTTAGGCAGAGGGATGTCCTTTGTTTTGCCGACTCCTCCAGGGTCAAGGGACAGGGTCACTTCAAACCACAGCAATCCCATGCTCAACCCTTTACCCTTCCCATCCACTGCCACCTGAACAGGGCAATCAGTACTCCTAACAACTGGTCAAACTCTTCACACTGTTGTGCCACCATGACAAAAAAAAAAACAAACCCAAAAACAAAACCACAAAAACCATGGACAGCCAGTTTTTCCTTTCTGAAGCCACTCAGGGGAGCTGGGACCTCCACTGAGCACGTAACTCTGTCAACTCCCTAAGGACCAAACTCAACAGCCTCAAAAAAACCAGAGAGCTTTTAGGACAACGAAGAGCATGGATGAGAGACCACCCAGCACCCTGCAGGACAGGTCAGCCAGTGACTGGGGAAGGGTCCCCATCCCCTGGCAGCACTACAGGCTGGCACTGAGGGCACCACCACGTAAGTCTCTTGAAGCCACCCAAGGGTCCAAAAGTGCCCTTCATCAGGGGATGCCCCAGGGGACACTGCTCCTTCTGGTACACCTGGGGGTGCAGCCCTTGGCCCTGCAGTTTGTTGTGCAGCCACTCAGAGCTGAACTGAACGGCGCAGTCCAGCAGACGCTCCCGATCACAGAGAGCCAAGAGGGAGCCCGGTGTTAACGGGTGGATCCTGGCCAGGTACAAGATCTCATTCTTAATGATGTTCCCTGGAAGGGGTCAGAAAAAAGGCAACAGTAAGGTTATTTCTAATCAAGATAATGCAGGCTGCTGGCTCCAACCTGTGATTTCCACCTCAAGGATCACAGCCAGCAACACCATTCCCTGTACCAGAGGTGGCATCCAAAGAGTAGACTTAGAGCTGGGATTGGACTGGAGGAGGTTCTCTTTCCTCTACCATTGTTACAGACCTTGAAGATGACCACATGCCCTCAGCTAGATCAACCATAAGCTCTTAGACTAAAGAGAAAACTACCCAGACATGCACTTCTGCATCTGTAGACATCCCACCCACCTTCCTCCATTTCCTCTCCTGCTCCTATTCCCTGGAACTCACCCAGCCCTGAAAAATATCTTTGGTCTAGGAGGGTGTAGCAGATGGGATCGGGTGCACAGAGGGCACGCAGCGCCCGGCCACGGTGGAATTCCACAGACAGGATGTCAGAGCTGGCCACTGTCTCAAGGCAAGGTGGCATCTTTAATGACTGCAGCCATGAAGCTTGGTGGTGAACCCAACACAACTGGTGGAGAGTTTTTCATTCTGCTGTCCTGTGACCCTGGATGACCAAGCCTCCAGCAGGACAAATAAGAGAAATGGATGTTAAAAGTAGCACAAAAAACAGTGTCTAAAAATAGAAATAGTCATCCTTCAAAAAAATCATAGAATGGTTTGGGTTGGAAGAGAACCCAAAGTTCATCTTGGGCCACTCTCTGCCATGGTCAAGGACACATTCCCCTTACCCCAGGTTGCTCCAAGCCTGTCCAACCTGGCCTTGGACACTTCCAGGGATGAGGCAGCCACAGATTTTCTGGGAAGCTGTTCTCCCTTACTCTACAATACCAATGGGATATAGGGCACAAACCATAGCCATGTTTTCATTTCACTTCTGCTTTCAATGGCATCACTTCAGCCTCTGATTCCAGGTGTATGAGACATTTGCTATTTATACAAGGCTTTTGTAAAGCACATAATTGGGAGAAACGGGTGTTTTTAGGGCATGGTTCAGCCTGGCATCCTTCAAGATAAAAATCTTACCAGAGCTGGTACTATAGTCCCCAGGCAATTGCATCCTACAATTCCACAGTGGATTCCCTGGTTGAACACACCCCACATTCACTCATACCTTAAAAATTATCAGAGAAAATCAAGGCTAAGAGCATTCCCACACAGATTTGGTTTGGGGGAAAAGAGAAGAGGAAATACCTGGGCACAGGATCCTTCCAATCCCCCCTTTTATTGGCTCTGTTTGCCCTCGAGAACTCATTTGCCCGGACGCTGCCGAACAGGCCAAAGTGGATGCGCAGCCAATTGCCCCGACCCTCTGCTGCCTCTGGGGCTTCAGACCTTGAGTGCTGAGGTTCCTGCAGCTCCTCATCCTGGGAATGGGGATGTGGAACACCAGCCTGTCCTTGTTGTCCTTGGGCAGGACAGCATGCCCCACAAGCAGCCTCTCTTTGCTGCGCTGTCTCTTCTGCGGTTGGTCCAAAGGGAGCTTCAGCTGCCACGAATGCCAGGTACAAGTTCTTCCCATGAGCCTGAGAAAAGAGGCAGGATGTGCTGATGATTCAAAAAGAATCATATCATTCTAGAAAGACTTGGGTTAGAATGGACCTTAAAGCTCATCTCATTCCAGCCATGGCAGGGACAACCTCCACTAGACCAGATTGTTCAGCCCTCATCCAACCTGACTTTGAGCACTTCAGGGATAAAACCTTTGTCTGTTTCCATACAAGTGACTTATTTTCTACAACCTCTATCAAAGGGTGTATCAGCCCACCCTGAATATGGGATTCATCAACATCCAAGCCATTCCCATCAGAGCTGGGGTCATCCTCACAGATTCCTTCTTTTGCCTGCCTGGAGCACAAGGTGTTCAGATGCCACTCAATTCTGAATCCCTCCCAGGGGCTCCCATTAGGCCCACGAGGACACACACTCAGGTGTGTAATTTGTCATCATCGCTTCTGATTCATCTTCCCACTTTGTGCTGGGTGCATTCAGTGCTCTTCATTTTGCTCCCCACCTTTAATCAGAGGTGAGGCTGCACCAGGGTTTGGCCAGTCAGGTCCAAATCATCATCTGGCGGTGTCAGGGCAGTGAAACCCCCACAAGACCAACCCAGCGTGACTTTTGACAAGTACCCACAGCACAGACACCTCAAATTAGCCAGGTGAAACCCTCAGGGAAACATTCACAGGTTCTGCATCTTCTGTCACCCAGGTGTGGGACAATGGTGACTTTCCCCCAGACTTGTCACGGATCTGTAAATTCAACGGTAGCACAGCTCACCTGGGAGTCCTGGAGCCTCAGGGCATTCAGGTCATTCACATTGAGCTTCTGGCTGCTTCCCCCCACCTTGGCCACCACCTGCCCCACAAAAGGGGAGGTCAGCAGCTGGAACTTCCTCACTGATGGGCCCTCTGGCATCTCTAGCAGCTGCGGAGGGATTAGCAGGTCCTTGTCACTCTCAGCCCTAGACTTGAAAGGAAGTTACAACTCAGAAATACACAAAACATTCTCCTGATTTTCCTCCTTAAGTTCCTGTGGCAAAGTCCATGAAGATAAGTAGGACCAGATCAGGGAGGTGGAGGAGTTTCCATCCTAGTGGATATATATAATTTAATCCAACACAGCCCTGAACAACATACTCCAATGGCAGTTTTCACACTACAAGCAGGAATTTGGCCTGGGGAACCTCCCAGAACCCTTTTCTTCCTGGGGCAGTGGAAGGTTTCCCTGCCCACATCAGGGCAGCTGGAAGTAGATGACCTTTAAGGTCCCTTCAACGCATTCCATTCTGTGATTTTATGATTAGTGACCCAGAACCAGCACAGTGACACATCTTCTTCCCAATACACCATGGGAAGTGCTGCTCCCACAGAAAGATCAGCCATGGAATTAGAACATCTCCACGCCTTGCTTTACCCACTGCTTGCCCCACTGACTGCAATGGCATGGAACCAGTCGGGGAACATTCCTACACGCTGCTAACAGCATCTGCGAGCAGGAGGCTCGGGATGAGGGGGAGATGAAGCAGCACCATCCTGCAGCTCCTTCCAGGAAGTCACAGCAGTACATAAGGAATTATTTCTGGCATGAAACCCCAGTTACTTACAGTTCTTCTGAGGACTTCTGCTGCCTGTGGGCGTATGAGGAAAGCTCAGTTTGGCTTTCATCCTACAGCACCAGCTCTCTCTGCAGACTAATCCCAGAGACCAGCCTGATCAGAGGCTCAGCTTCAAGGTACAGGGCTCTGAGGCACCTGGCACAGCTCTGAGATACCTTGATGAGAAAATCAGCAGCAATCCTGGGGTCCCCCAACAGAAGAGCCATTCCCACCTCATGCCATCCATTCCTGTGCTGCAGCACAAACCAAATCTCTCTTGCAAGAGCTCAAGAGGAAAACATGTTAGGGAACATTCATTTAATGTCTTAGATTTAGGTACAGATATTAAGTGGTCATCAAAACTACATTTAGCAAGGGTAAAAGACTGAGCTTTAGTCCTCTGCCTTCAAGCGCTTGTGATGATTATTCACAGGCCTGCTCCAGTTTTGTCCAAAAAATCTGCATATTATGTTGTAGCTAAAGAGATACTCCTGCTGCCAAAGGCACCAGCAGCAGTTTGGATCCCTGGAAACAGCTGGGCACAGGTCATCCAAGGAGTCTGCCCTGACTATCCAGGCACTGGCTTCATGTCTGGCAGCATGGATTGAGCCCCTGCACAGCTCGTACAGCCCAGAGCTCACATCCCAGGGAACTTCATCACCTGCAGAGCGCTGACTGCTGCTAAGTCAGGCTCCTTGTGAGACCCTGGAAGTGCTGGGAGCTCTGTAAGGTATTAATAATCACTACAGCCCAGCTGTAGCCTGTCTGACACCAAAGGAACATTCCTCCTCAAGAGGGAGGACTGCCCTGCTCCCCAGCACATCAGAACTGCCAGCATCTGCCATCCTTACCCCATGTAAGGATTCCTTACCTGATTCCCTTGTTTCCATGTACTGCCTTATTTCACATTTTTTCTCTAGACCCACTTCAGTCTCATCCAACCACCCCCAGCCCTCTGCAGGGCATGATGCCCACCTCACCATGACCACCTAAGCTGGTATCTCTCCAGGTCTGGGGCTGAGCCAGACCTCCAGTGAAAATCCTCCCCCTGCATGCTCGTTCCCAGTCCTTGTGCCCAGACAAAAGCCCAGCACCCACAGCACAACAGAGCAAGGACAAGGCTCCTGCAGCTCACTCCAGCTCTGCCTGCACCCCGGGATTGCAGGAAGGCCCCTGTGACCTTACACCCCTGGGCAAGGTTTCTGCAGGGACTTCAAGGCATACCTCTGACCCTCCACATAGAATCGAGGGGGGTGCAGAGCTTCCCATCTCCTCACACTCAGCCAAGCATCAGTTTGCAGCCATCGGAAGAAAACAGGCGCTGAGTTCCCACCCCATTCTCACCCACATCGCCCCAGGGCAGTGAAGGCACCCCCTGCTTTTCCCCCAAGCCCTACATTCCTGCAGCCAGCTCTAACCTGCTGCTCTCCCCAGGCCCATGCTGTGCACCCATTTGGGGAGCAGGCTGGGCAGCCTTCCCCCACTATTCCTCACAGCCCTTCCTCTGCCCCCAGCCACCTCCCACAGCACCCCTACCCATCCCCAACAGGACCTCCTACAGCCAAACCCCTTCCACCCACCTCCTTTTATAAGGGAGGAAGATCCTCCCCGCCAAATAACAGGGGAGCTCCCCAGTTGGCTGCTGGGGGAGGGATGGGCGAGTTCCAGGTGCTGGCGGCACTTACCCCACCAGCTGTACCGGTCTCTAAACTGGTTAGACTGGGAGGGAAGCTGGGCAGTACCTGGCAGGGTGTTTGGGTGCCTAAAAAAGGGCTGTACCCCTGCAGAGTGGGAGGTGGCTAAGCACAGCCCTTGCTGACAGCCTGATTTCGGCTCCAGATTGCTGCCTCTGAGTTCAGCTGGAAGTATTCAGGCTGAACAAGGCCTACTGAGTAAAACATAGTGAGAAGAACAAAAAGCTAAGTCGTGATGGTTTTTAAGTGCCCCCAAGGGCTTTTCCCTTCTCTGTTGTGTTCAGGGTGTTAGCAGTACTGGGACTTTTCCTCATTTATTTTGAAATCATAGTCACAGGCTGGTTTGGGTTGGAAGGGACCTTAGAGATCATCCAGTTCCACCTCCCTGCCGTGGGCAGGGACACTTTTTGCTAGACCAGGTTGCTCCAAGCCCTCCCCAGCCTGGCTTTGAGTTGCTCCAAGCTGGGTCTGTCACCTCTGAGTTTTTCATCCTGTGTTGGCCATCCCAAATCCTGTGTTTTGGAGGGTCTGTGTGGCTCTGGGACTTGGGGACAACATTGATTCTCCTGCAATGACTCAATGCTTGGGAATCCACAGGTCTAGGCAATTAATTTACTGGAGATTTTGTTTCTCATTAATAATCTAATATTTATTATATAGGAATTTTAGATAGGACAAGGAGTAATGGGTGCAAGTTAAAGAAAGGGAAATTTAGATTAGATATTAGGAAGAAATTATTAACTTTGAGGGTGGTGAGACACCGGAACAGGTTGCCCAAGGTGGTTGTGGCTGCTCCATCCCTGGAAGTGTCAAAGGCCAGGTTCAGTAAGGCCTTGAGCAGCCTGGTCTAATGGAAAGTGTCCCTGCCCATGGCAGGGCGTGGGACTAGATGAGCTTTAAGGTTCCTTCCAATCCCTTAACATTCTATGACTTGGAAAAATATTTCCACCATGGGAGTGGTCAGACACTGAACAGGAACCCAGAGAGGTGGTGGGATTTCCATCTTGGGGTATGTTCAAAATCTGACTGAACAGGGCTCGGAGAAACCTGATTGCCTCTTGTCTGACTTGAAATTCCCTGTAATTCTTTCATTGTGAGCTCCCTGGAGCAGGACCCACTTCAACATTTGTTCTCCAGGTGCATTTCATGTTTTCAGTATTTCATCATTTTCCCCTCACCCCCTTCAAGAAGCCTACGAGGGTAGACAGAATCAAGCAGAAACCTTTTGGTTTTATTATCATTGTTTTATTTTCATTAGTTCTAAAGGTGTAGAAGTTACGTGGATTGGTAGCCATACTACTTCAGAATAGATATTTTTTTACATCTTTAAATAATTACAGCTTGTTCAGTTGGTTGGTTCCCTCTCCCCCTTACAAATAAGTGTCTGTTTCCGTAAGACCTTCCCAGATGACCTGGGAAGCTTCAAACTTTACACATGGGGAGAAAAAAAGTCAAAACAAAACACCACACCCCTGACATAGTCACAGCTTCAGTGTTACATTGAGAGTTGCTGATTGGTTTTAAAGCTCCCTTGCAATATTCCTGAGCTCCTCCCGATTGCACCCTCTCCATCCAAGCCCGTAAGATTGCAAGTGATCTGTGGACCTTGTCTGATCAATTTACAAAAAAATAACCGAAGTGAATCAACATACTGCACTTCCACAAAGAGCAAAGACATTTAGAAGTGGTTAAATGACCTTTCTTGGCTCCCTGTCCTGGTTCTCATCTGCCCATCTCACTTTGGTGGCCACTGGGCCGGTGCCAAGGTTTGGTTTGACACAAACCTTGTGCTGTAAACCCTTCAGCATCAAAATTTTCCTGATTAGGAATGATCTCAAGGGGAACAGCTCCCACAAATGCATTTTTAAATGCACTGAGGTGCTTTGCAGGAGTGGGGCCTTCCCTCTTGCTCCTCAGGGAAGGGATAGTTCTTGGTCCTGTATTCGTGTAGGACCTGGTATGGATCTCACTAGGTTCTCCAGCAATAAAAGCAATAATAAAACCAGTAATTACATTGCCTTAATGGGTCTCTAATGGGATAAAAGAGTTAATTTCTGCCCCTGTAGAATTGTCCTCTACCCCTAAAGCTGTCCTCACATCCCCCAGAACTTCACCTTTGGAAAACAGATGTCTTGTTCTGTTAGCAGGGACTTGTGAATGCTCCTCACTCTGTTTCAAGAATTGTTTTTCAGGCTTTGAGGAGGGCTAAAATCCAGTTCATAAATCTCTGTTAAGGGGACATAAGGCAGATACGTTCTTCAGGGATTTTTCCTTCTGGCATTACAAGCAGAATTCTTTCTGGCATCTCTGAGTGGGTTTTAAGGGAAGGAGAAAAATTCCACTGGGGAATTTGGCTTTGAGGGAAGAAGGAGCACAGCAATAGGGAAGGGAAGGTAGACAGAACCCCTGTGAGCCTCCAGATGGAAAGAGAAATGGGGGTGTGGTTGGTCTGGACGTTTAATCCTCTCCAGGAGGCTCCACTCACTCTTGGGCTTTCCAGGGTAGTTCTGGAGATCTCAAAAGCTGGCATGAGCCACGTGGCATTTTGTGGTGCAGGCTGCTGTGTTATGGCCAGGAATTCACAGCCAGATACCAGGAGAGCTCAACTGCCCTTTACAAAGGGATTTACTTCAAGGAGGAATTTGGCTAAAGATCTTCCTGCCAATGGGGAAACACCTTTGTGTTTTCACCTCAAATTCATATTTTTCAGTTCTGTTTCTGGCCTTTTCTCTAAAGCCTAGCAGGTCTGAACAAAATCAAAGACTTAAATTTCTTTTTATTCATGTTTCATGAATGTCTTTCCCTCATTTGTAATTAGCACTAATGAGGCTAACACACTGCATTAGCTCCAAAAGACAGAGTGGGAACTGGTGTAAACACCACCCAGCTGTCCTCATGGCATCATTGCCATAGTGTTTTTCTCTAGGGAGTGTGGAAGCTCTGTCACACCTCCAAAATCCTGCAAATCTGGGCTATGGAGAGAATGGGGAATGTGGGAGGGTCCAAGACTCTCCAGTCACGACCAGTCCAGTTGAATCCTTCTCTTTAGAGAAGCTTTTACACCACCGGCAGGAGAAGAATGAGTTCAAACAGACAACACAACGCCATTCTTTTGCTTCAAACCTGTCCGTGGCTCTCCTCTTCACCAGGCCATGTGCCTTAGGTTGTGTGGAAGAACACTCCTTGTGGGAATGTTAAACAGTGGGAGACAGAGGGTGGCACGTTTGGGAGGGCTGCACAATCCCCCTTAGAGATTTTTCACTTGGTAGTTCTGTACGCGAATTCTGGATGCGGGGAGGAAAAGAGAGGAGCTGGGAAGACAAGAAGGGTAATAGAGCTTGGGAGCAGACAGAAACAAGAGTGAAGAATCTTGCAGGATGAGGTCTCCCAGGAACTCTCTGCATGGACAGGCAAAGCTGTCCTTCCTTGGAAATGTTGATTCAAACGTCATGGGAAGCATCTGGTGAAGCACTTGGACTGCCCAGGGGAGCTGTGGCGCCTGCAGTGCTGGAGTTTGAGTTTGTTAAACCAGAGGCAGAGCAGTCAGGGCTGGATTAAGCAGGACTGATCCCTTTGGGAAAAGGGAATGAGTCATTGGGCTCTTAACATCTCTTCCAACTCCATTTGCCAGGATTCCCTGGTAGGTGAGAGCCTTATGGGCAAGGAAACAGTCAAGTCTTGTTTAATGGAGTTGTGCTTCTCTTGCAGGCAGGCAAGTCTGTGCACATGCTTGATAAAGAAAATGGCCCCTGCCACCTCCAGCAGGGGATGAAGCCACTGCTTATTGCAAAAGGTGAAATCCTAAAGGATTAGATGTGGGAAATGGTCACGAGCCAGCTGTTAGGGGGAAAGTGGGCACAGTACAGCCAAAAATAAGTGACAGTCAGATTTCATCAGTGGCATCCAAACCAACATAAAAACAGGCAAAATAATTAAATTATCTGTCTGAAAAGCAATGGCACAGCAGCATTAGAAGAGCATCTTTCACTTGCTGTGCTCTTGAATCATCTCTAAGCCTGGCTAGTCACTATACATCAGGGAAGAGCCCAGCCATTTCCCCCAGGATTTGATGACCAGCATGGGTCTCATCAACCTTCTTCCAGAAGGTTTCTTCTTCCAAAATCCCCCTTTTGACTTTGGACAGACCTACTCCAGGCTCAGCCAACAACCTTTTGGAAACACAGTCCCACAATTTCGTAGTGATAAATAGGAAGGGAGTTACTATTAAATACAGACATTCATGAGCTTTCCAGACCATCTAGGAAAATGAAGACAATGCTCTACATGTGTGAGCTGAGGAGGAAGGGGAATGTCTCTTTTTTTCTCTGCCCTACATCATATCAAATCCATTAAAGCCACTAAAGAATCTCGAAGTCTGTTCAGCAAACTGTCCTGGAACTGGCTCCGTTTGGTGGAAGATCACTGAATTTGGGTCATGAGAAGACAATGGCATTTTCTTCTGTTTGGGAAAAGAATGAGTGGTGACAGAAGTGTCTCTGCTCCACCATTGTCTGAGTCTTAAAATGCCAGATATTGTTAAATTAAACTCAAGAACTGTGTCCATCTCTGTGTTTCTGGCTGTTTCATAGGAAGTGGTGACGGTCAAATAGAGAGGCTCATTTAAAGTGGGGGAAAAGGCTTCAAATCCTTGAGTTACTCTGAGATTTGAGTCTTCTCTGTTCATTTCATAAGAGCTCCCCTACACCTCGGATAAGTTCTCTTTACCTCTTTGCTGGAACATCTCACAAGGGAAGAGAAGGCAGGAGAGCAGGGGAGGTGGAGACAACATTGACTTGATGATTACTTGGCATCTTCTTCATCTCTCAAGCAGATCAGCCTGGAGTTCATAGGGAAAGGGCCAGGTTATGCAGTTATGATGTCCCCGTGGTTCTCAGCCAGCACCAGGCTGTTCCAGGAGTCCTGTTTGGAGCTGGTTTGGGGAGACTGGCTCATGGCTGACTGGTAAGCCTGGGGGGAAAGCTTCAGAGCTGAGATCGCAGGGTGAATGGATGATCCATGTCCGGACATGGCAGAGACGGAAAATGCCTATGGAAAAAGGAGAATTCTGTGGAAAAAAAGCTTCAAACCTTTTAGAAGAGGACCATGTGAGTCCCTTTAATGTGGGCTGGTGCTGTTGTAAAAATGTGTTGTAAAAATGGATTTGCTGCAGGGCTGGAGATTGCAGCCTATGTGGGATTCTTTGGGCAGGCTCTTTCCTTCTCTCTCCCTTTCCTTCTAATTCTAGAAACACAGAATTATTTGGGTTTGAAGAGACCTTAAAGATCATCTTGTTCCTGCTCCCTGCCATGGGCAGGGACACCTTCCACTATCCCAGGTTGCTCCAAGCCCCATCCAGCCTGACCCTGGACCCTTCCAGGAATCCAAGGGCAGCCACAGCTTCTCTGGGCACCCTGTGCCAGGGCCTCCACCACCCTCACAGGGAAGAATTGCTTCCCAATATCCAATCTAAACCTGCTGTCTTTCAGTCTGAAGCCATTCCCCTTTGTCCTATCGCTCCAGACCCTTGTAAATCATCTCTCCCCATCTTTTCCTGCAGCCTCCCTTCAGGAGATTGTCTTTAAGTACCTAAGTAAATTTGGAGGATGTTCTCCCCATGTCTACCATCCTATTTCCTGGTTTTTTTTCCCCACTGCCAGCACCTCCCCCCTGTACCTGAGAGACAGGGCTGGGGTGCCCATAGTGAGATGAGAGCCCGGGTTCTGTTTTGATGGGGCGCATTTCCTCGGTGGTCGTGGTGCTGCTGCTGCTGCTGGCGGAGCTGGTGGTCGGGGTAAGACTCTCACTGCTGGATGGGCCTGGGAGAAACCAGAGGGTAAAACAGGCTCTTTCCAAAGACCTTCCAGCACAGAGATGTGCCCACTCACCCAGAAGTTAGTGTGGTAAAAGTAAATTTAAAAATAGTGGGAAGGGTATTCAGGTATTTAAGACATCCCCCATTTTTTAAAAATTGTTTTTGTCATTGGATCTCTAATTTGAGGGCATTGTGGTCAGAAATACAAGTGCACACGCAAATAGACATAATAAAATAAATTCCCTCATTCAGCACTTACCTGTTGGTGCCTTTGTTTTGTTAAGGTTCTTAGGCTTGCGTTTCCTCGTCTGAATTCCCTCTTTTCTCATGGCCAAAGGCCTTGGGACCTGTGGATCCAAATAGAAAAGCACGTTGGTTTCTGAAAGTCTTTAAGGTCATCTAAGAGAGCATGATTCCAGTTCTAACTTGTGGTTGAGCTGGTTTAATTGAAAGCAACAACAAGATGGAGCCCAAATTCTCTGGTCAAGAGAGATTCAAGATGTGCATCCAAATGGGAGTAAGAAGGCAGATCACACCATGGCATGGAGTGTTTTAGGGTCAGGTGGCAGCTACAGCTCATCTGTTTGTGCTTCTGATTTGGCTTTTTTACTAAAGTGCCTGAATTTATGTGGTAAGAATCTGGGCCTGGTTTTATTAGGTTTTAAGACTTATTTGCAAAGGAGACCTAATTAGTGAGTGAGAAATACCCAGCCTGCACACTCCCTTGCAGGTATAAACATGACGTAACATTGAGGGGAGACTAAACCCAAAAGGAGAGCAGGACAAACAGCTCCAGGAGAGCACAGAGGTGTGTAAAGAACCCAGCCCCCAGCCTGGTGCCACGAACACCTTCCCACAGCAAGGATTTACCCCGTGGAGTTTCATGTAGAGCCCGCAGGCGTTGCAGACCGGCTCCCCCTCGGCGTTCCTGCGCCAGAGCGTGGTGGTGGTCGTGTGGCAGTTGGCACAGGAGAGCCCAACACGGCGGGACGCTGACTGTGGGGACAACAGAGCAAGGAGACACATCAGCCCTGCAGTGCTCTCACCAGCAGCACCCCACATCCCAACCAGCTCGCCCCACCACACCTCAGGGTTATCCCAACCAGCTCGCCCCACCACACCTCAGGGTTCCCTCTCCTCCTGCCTCTCTTGTTTCTCTGGCTTTTTCTCTTTTAACCCCTTTGCCGTTGTCCTCTTTCTGCCCCTCTTGCCTTTCCACTGGCTCCAGGAGGTCTCAGCTCTCCTAGGCCATCTCAGATGGCACCAGAGACATGAAATAGAATCATTAAGGTTGGAAAAGACCTCCAAGATCATTGAGAACCTGTGATGGATCACCACCTCATCAACCAGACCAGAGCATTGAGTGCCACGCCCAGTCGTTCCTTAGACACTTCCAGGGATGGGGACTCCACCAACTCCTTGGGCAGCCCCTTCCAATGCCTGACCACGGTTTCAGTGAAGAGATTCTTCTTGATGTCCAACATGAACCTCTCCTGGCATAGACTGAGGTTCTGTCCTCTCGTCCTGTCCCTGTTTCCTGGCAGCAGAGCCCAACCCTCACCCGGCTGTCCCCTCCTGTCAGGGAGCTGTGGAGGGCCAGAGGGTCCCCCTGAGCCTCCTTTCTGCAGAATCCACATCACCTGAACAGAGCCCCAGATCTCCAGCAGCTCTGGTGGCAGCTCAGAGGCCCCCTGGACATGCACACACCTACACTAAGGTGTCTGGATCTCAGGCCATCCTGCCTTTTCCAGCTCCCAAGCCCTTCCAGGCGTTGTGGCTACACCAAGGAAATGTTATCAGTACCATAAATGTTACATATTCCTTGCTGGCTTTGTGACGGGTTTCTCATAGAGCTCAAGGGGAAGGTTAAAAAAAAAAGAGAAGCTTCCAGTAGCATTTTCTTCCTCTTGATAAAAAGTGGTCATTAATAGGTCTCACTAATGAATTAGTGCAGGGAGCAGACCTGAAGTTCCTTTTCTGGGTGAACTGGTTTAGTCAGATTCAGAAGGCAACAGGAGAAAGCAAGGGTCTTGAAGCCTTATGAAATACAAGTTTTTAGCTGAGAAAAAGAGTGAGAGGGGGAGGAAGAAAGCGCCACATCCTGCACACCTGCCTGACTCTTCCCATCATCCTTCAAAGCTCAGGGTTTAGAGGGCAGTAAATGGGAGAGGGAAGGTCCTGGGTGCCGGGGTGAGAGCCTGCCTGCATCAGTCGGTGTCTGGAAAGGCTTTTCACAAGAGGGCGCTCGGTGCCTGTGGCTGCTGGCAGCGCTCGGGCTGCCGGTGTCACTTGTGTCGCTTTTGTCACTCGCAGGGTTTGGGCACCGACAGGGCTGAGCCATGCAAAGGGCGGGCAGGATGAGGATGGAGCCTCGTGGAAGACCAGGAGTGTGGAAACCTGGCTTTCAGGTGTCTGCTTTCAGCTTGGGTTCATGATCATAGAACGTTAGGGAATCACAGAATGTTGTAGGATCATAGAATTTTAAGGGGCTAGAAGGTATCATCTGGTCCCACTGCCCTGCCATGGGCAGGGACACCTTCACTAGACCAGGTTGCTCAAGGCCTTATCCAGCCTGTCTCTGAACACTCTCAGGGTTGGAGCATCCACAGCTTCCCTGGGTAACCTATTCCAGAGTCACCCTCACAGTAAAAAATTCTTCATCATTTCTAACCTAAATTTCCCCTTTCTAAAGTTGTACCCATTGCTCCTTTCCTGTCACTCCAGTTCCTGATGAAGAGTCACAGCTTCCCTGTAAGACCCTTGAGATACTGGAGTGGGCTGTGAGGTTTCCACAAAACCTTCTCTTCTCCAGGCTGAATAGTCCCAACCTTCTCAGCCTGTCATTATGGACTCATGACACTGGGGACACAGAGACCTTCCCAAAACCCCTCACCAAAACATGCAGGGAGCAGCAGAATATCAACACTGAGCTCACAGAATCGTGGAATGATCTGGGTAGGGATCCAGTTCCATCCCCTGCCATGGGCAGGGACACCTTCCTCTATCCCAGGTTGCTTCAAGCCCTGTCCAAGCTGGCTTTGGACACTTCCAGGGATGGAACAGCCACAGTTTTTCTGGGGACCCTGTGCCAGGGCCTCCCCACCCTCCCAGGGAGCAAATCTTTCCCAATATCCCATCTAACCCTGCTCTGTCAGTTTGAAACTATTCCCTCTTGTCCTGCCATCCTTGTAAATAGTCTCTCTCCATCCTTCCTATAGGCTTCCTTCAGGAAAGCTGCAATTAGGTAAAGCCAAAGCTTTCTCTTTTAGAGGTTGAACAATCCTGTTCCTGTCCCCCAGGTTCCTTGTGCATTCCCCACCCTGACCCCACAGGCTTTGGGATGTCCTGACCTGCCCTACAATGGAGGCTTCACCTCACCCAACGGATCTGGGAGCAGAGTGTCCAAAAAAAAGTATCCAGAAAAGTCACCATGAAGTGAGGAGCCCACCCAGCAGTGACCAGGGACCCCTATGGATAAGAGAAGATGGACTGGTACTGTGCTGGAACTGGAAAGAGTTGCCATTCCTCCAAATATACCTGCAGTGATACTGAAGCAAAGACTGGCTTTTGCTGAACCAACACCACAAATCCCAAAATCACCCTGTGTCCTACAGCCCTTTCCACTGCCTGTGTCTGGAGAACTGCTCCGGGCAGTACGAGGTCTTGGAGTGTCCCAAGCATGAGAAAATCTGACTTGTTTTGAAAGTCTGGACTTTGGCTGGGCAGGTGGGTTTGAAACACCCCTGACATCTCCAGCTGGCTGAGATTTCTTTGCCTCCTCCTCGCCCCACGTGTGTGATCTTGACTTACCAGCCTCCTCTGGGGTTTGAACAGGGGCCGGTTGATGCCGTTCATCTTGTGGTAGAGCCCGCAGGCGTTGCAGAGGTAGTGCCCCGTGCCGTCCCTCCTCCACAGCGGGGTGGACATGGCCCCACAGTTGACACATTCTCGCCCCTCGGAATAATCATCAAAAAATTCTGCTGCCAGGATGGGAGAAAAGGCAAAAGACTCAGTTAATTAGGTGGCTGTACCTTTAACTGCTGCTCTCCTTCTCAGTTTAGCCCAGAAGGAACATTTCAAGAAATCATAAATATTAAGATTTTAGAGGTTGCAAGAAACAGCTCTTTTACCCCAAGGAACCCACCCTGCCCCCAGGATTATTGGGAAGAGGGACTCCTTTCCGTGCCATGACTGCAGGACTTCTGTGGCAGCAGGGATATGCTGGGATATGGATACCAGGAGACAGAAATATAAACCTTTCCCTTCTGCTCTGACGTTATCCAATTTTCAGGATTGGCCATAGCCAGGGCAAGCAGATCAGGGCAGGTGAACAACCTTGGTTATGATCAAGGCAGATTCCTGAGACCATGGATAAGAACAAACCCCACAGAGCAGAACTGCCCAGAGGTCAGGCTGGGCAGGAAAACCCATTTCATGTGCTCTGCTCCCCATGGGAACGCTCCTCACCCAGCCCCTCTGCTGGGGGGAACGGCTGCAGAGAGCCACGGGGAGGTTTCTGTGCCTTCACCCCATTCTCTGCACGGAAAATATCTCCTGATTTACAGCAATCCATATGTATAACATGAAGGTTCCCTGCCCAAATGGAAGGGGGTTGGAAATGGATGGTCTTTAAGGTCCCTTCCAACCCAAACCATTCCATGGTTCTGGGATTCAAACCCAGCTCAGGCTGACAGCTAACAGGGATTGTTGTGAATTTGTGTGTGTTATCCAGCTTTTGATGGAAATGTGTATTGTGCTTGATGCCACACTGCAGGGCTTGCTGCATTCACCCACTGCCCTCCTGGTACATCCTGCACTGGGATGTGAGGGACAATTGGGCATGGAGTGATAGGAAAAGGGGGAATGTGTTTAAACTGACAGAGGGCAGGGTTAGATCAGATGTCAGGAAGGAATTGTGCCCTGCGAGGGTGGGGAGTTCCTGGCTCAGGGTGCTCAGAGAAGCTGTGGCTGTTCCATCCCTGGCACTGTCCAAAACCATGTTGAACAGGGCCTGGAGCAACCTGGGGAGGTGGAAGGTGTCCCTGCCCATGGCAGGGGGGTGGGATGAGATGAACTCTGAGGTCCCTTCCAACCCAAACCATTCTGTCATTTTCTGAATTGCCCTGGGCTGGGCCAGTCCAGTCCCTCTGGCTCTGGCAGGACCAGGAGGTTGAAAGGTGAGCACAACTCAACTGCATCATCCTTTGGAAAGCCACAGCTCATTCCCTGTTCCATACAAATCCTCCCAGAAACCAACAACTTCGCTGTATTTTTTGCTTGTCCACCTGCTTTTTACACAAGAATCTCCAGCTTCCTGCTGGAATACAATTCCTCCCCAAAGAGCAAACCAACAAAATTTTGCTTCTTGCTGAGCTGTGCCTAAATCCCATGTGGGTTCTCTGATGTCTAGCAAGGGTTATGTTCAGACATGGCCTTATTTTCTCTTTTCCCTGGACTATTTTTGGAAAATCTGCAGGAAACTGCACAACCGTGAACCGGCCAAAGGACAAAAAAAATTAATGAAGTGGCGCCAGTTAACAGAGACAAATATTCACGTGAGCCTAATTCTCCCTAGAAAATCTGGCTAAAAATGGCAGATTACACATGTGCTCATGGGGAAATGGTAGAGAGCAGCAATTTATCGTACCCAAGCAGCTTTGGAGCCAGCAAAGCAGGAATCCAGTATCTTCCCAGCAGTTTAGGAAAATCTCACTACCCTGGAGCAATTCTGGTGGATTCAAAAAGATGAGAATCCTCCCAGACAATTTTTGTCCAGATCGATTCAGTGATACCACAACCCTCACTTTCTCCCTTAAAATGACAATTGAGTCATAGCCAAAATCTAGATCAAATAAACTTCCTTTGAAAAGAGAAGGGATTGGAACAGCTGGTCAGGAAAAAACTCGTTTCCTTGAAAAATCTCAAGAAAGGAAAACATTTCACTTTTTTTTTTTTTTTTTCGTCTTGGAAGTTGTTGAGGTTTTTGATTATAATTTTCCAAAGAAAAAGCCAAAGTATTTTTGCAGTAATTTTTTTCCTGTAAAAAATCCCTTCTTCTTTGAAAATAATTCGGTACAGAGTTGTGGACATAACCCAGGGAGAATTTAGCACAGCAGAGATAATCAAAAGGTAACAGTTAAAGCTTGAGTGATTTGAGTTTTGTCTGTGACTAAATACAAAATACAATCTTTCTTGGAGATTTTTCCACCAGGCAACCAAAATATAAAAGTTTTTAATCAAAAACAAAGGAGAAAATTCCTAACAGTCCCTCAGAAATGTTAGAAATTGGATTAGTTCTTGAATAAGAAGGTCCCTCAAAAAAATGTCAAGTATGGATATATTTCTGGTTTTAGAAAAATGTAAGTCTCCTATCTTCTGGCAATATTTTGTTGCCAGATGTTGAGTGTTATTTCCCAAGAGTGGGACACCCAGCTCTAGTGCCACGTTATTTTCAGTATTCAGTATTTCAGTACTGGTTTCTCATTGACATCCAAAAGACCAGTGCAAACCTGCCCTGAGACCTGCTCTCCTTTTCTACCTGCATTTGGCTGATACTTTTTCCCTATTTTTTTGGTGTTTTGGGGGTTTTCCCCAGTTTCCATGAAATTTGAATAAGAACATCTCTCTTGAGGGACTTTTATAGGATCACAGACTGGTTTGGGTAGGAAGAGACCTTAAAGCCTATCTCATTCCAACCCCTGCCATGGGCAGGGACACCTTCCACTATCCCAGCTTGCTCCAAGCCCCATCCAAACTTTCACTGGCTGAAGTTTCCAAAACTCCCCTTCTGCTTCCGTGGCAGTAACGTTTGTGAGACTTTCCCCTCTCAGCTGCAGGTGAAGGTGATCCTTGTGAACGTTCATAAACAGGAGTCATTGGGGTTTGAGATGGGAAGGGACAGACTTTGCTCCCGGGGGACACCGAGGCTCCAGGCAATGGGTGGCTCTCCCTAATCACAGCCCGTATCAGATGGGTGTGTCCCCTCCGGGCACCACCCAGTGCTGAGTCAGATGACACCCACAGAATACAACCTCATTAAAAACATTCCTGCAGCCCTGACAGAGCAGGGAGAGCTCCTTGACCTAGGTAGATATGACCTGGAGGAGAGATACCCTCACCTGCTTCAAAGGATGTTTGGGATGGCACAGGAGGTGTTTTGGGCGCTACTGGAGGCTGGCTTAGAGATGATGATATGGGCTTGGTGCGTGCCATTTATTGAACAAAGGGTGTTTGGGCCCTAAGGAAGTGGAAAACAAGGGGCTGGATTTCTTTCTAGAGTAAATTATAGATTTATAATTAATTTTTTGTGTATATATATATATCATTTCAGAGCATCTCTAAACTCCAGGATGAAATTGCCAAGGGGACCTTTCTGCTGAGCTGTCCTTCTGGCCACACATCCCCCCTGCTCTGAAAAACCCTGAAGATCTACAAAATAATGAGAAAATATCACCTGAAAACCTGGAGCCTGTGCAGGTGAGTGTTCAGGTTTGACATGGGTGAGTGTTCAGGACCCAGGAAATCAAAATATTCCCAGGGCTCAGAGCCCACAGGAACCAGGATCCACCAGGATCAGGCTGAGCTAAATTGGGCATGGAGGTCACCGGGCTTCAAATGCACTAATTGTTTAATTTGTCAGTGTTATTAATAATGGGGATTAAAGAGACTCCCCAGGAAAAAGCAGCAAAGTGTTTCCTTGGCTTCTGGCTCAGGGCTGGAGCTCTAAATCCTGGCATTATGAGATCCCCTGACACTTATTCCTTGTACTTTGCAGCCGGGAAAGGAAACGTTTATTCAGGCAGCAAATGGCCCGAGCGGCTCCCGGAGGGCCCTGAACAATGAGGGGGGAAGGAAAGGCTCCCCCAGTCGCACTCAGGGCAATAATTTCCGTTCTGTGGCACAGGAGCCGCTGCCTGATAATGGAGATTTATGGGTCCATCCGGTGACCTCTGTAATGGCCTTTCTGCTGGAAAGATTTACTCCCTCTCCTGAAGCCAGGTACAGCCAGCACTGGGACAGGGTTGAGGGAAGGATTTGCTGATCAGGCTGAGAAGGACTGTGGCTGGGGGAGCCTCGTGTGTGCTGAGTGGCCTCATCTTCCTCTTTGAATGTTCAGCTTCCCCACGTGCCTTTGCCAAGCCCTTATCTTGTATCTTGGGATCATTCAGTCCTTTTTATGGGCTGGGTCCCTGGTGTTGACTAATCCTGATGGCCTTCTACTTAATTCTTCATAAAACCCTGCCTTTAGTCAATGAAGGAGCTTCCCACATGAAAGCAGATCATGAAATCTCACTGAATGACCAGTGGAGAGGATGGATTGTGTCCCATCCCTATCGTAGTCATCAACTTGCTGTGTAAAATGAGATTTCTTTCCTTCACATCTACTGTTTATGAGCACTGCAAGGTTCCCAGGGCAGGAAATGTCACTTGCGTGTTTCACAACAGGCTCCTAATCTTGGGTGAGGCCTTGAGTATGCTCATGTCAGAAATACTTTCCACAATGGGATATCCAGTTCCCAGGAGCCAGGAGTGACTCCTGAGTGGGGCACAGGGGTCTGGAAGGAAAAAAAGAATTCTTGGATGTGGCCCTTCGTGACACTTGGTCGTTGGGAGGGGTCCTTCACATCCACTGAGATCGACCTGTACGGACAATGCTGGGGTCATCAAAAACACAGATTGGAGCTTGCCCTGCCAGCCCACACCTCCAGCACCTCCAGTTCACCAAAAGTCTGAGGAATTTTGCCTTCCCAAACAGGAGAACCAGATGCCCGCTTGCAACCCAACCCAAGGCTTGAGCCTGGAGAATGGCTTGAAGTGACTCCTTTCCACCACCTCTGCCAGCCTGGCACCACATCCATCCCAAAGTCCAGACTTTTGGGCTTTTCTTAAGCAACTCATCCCTGGAAGTGGTCCAGGGCAGGTTGGATGGGGCTTGGAGCAGCCTGGGATCGTGGAAGGTGTCCCTGCCCATGGCAGGGAACTGGATGAGCTTTAATGTCCCTTTCAACCCAAAC